GGCTTATGAGTAAATCCAGACCTCTCCAAAATCACATTCAGAACATACTCATAATAAAGGAATTATATTATTATATTATACACATTATATGATAATAATTTAATTTAAATTATAATTCTATAACTCTGTTTCCTCTTGACTGGAGTGATTATTCAGCACCTCAGATTTTTATAATTATTATATTTCGAATGCTTATGTGATCATTTTTTACTGGCAACTTATACGCCTTTACCAATTTTATCAATTTCCAACGTGTTTATTGTACAAAAACATTTTTAATTTATATTTTTGGTGGTTTTATTTATGTGTCCCCTGTCATTTCTTTATATCTATTAGTTTATATTTGTTGTCTTTTCCACATATCTTTGCCTCTTTAAACCATTTCTAAGAGTTGCTAATTCTTTCCAACTAGTTAACATCTTTGTGATTACATCCTCCTGAAGGTATATTTCAAGGTTTTGCAGAGCATCGAGTCCAGCAAGCCTATTGGTTCCCATATCCAGGGTCTAATAGATATAATTGAAATTTGTTTTTAATAAATTGACTACTTTTTAATTCCTTGCCTTTGTATCTACCATTTTTATTTTTGCTTTTCTTTTAAATTATTTTCATTCTTTCTGCTCTAAGCTTTTCATCATGATTAGTATTTCCAACTTCTCTTTCACATTATCAAGCATGCCCCGCTTTGAGGCGGCCGCTGCAAGTCATCTTCCTTCAGACTCTATGGCTGATTCGAGGCATCGCTTTGCTTTCAGTCGCTCATTGTCCCGTCGCCGCCTTCGGGCCCGGCTCAACTCTGCCTTCTCAAATCGAACTGATCGCAATTTGGTTGAAGCTGTCCATGTGTTCCCTGTCAAAAGTCTCACTCAAACCGCCACAGATAGTGCTTTAGGGGCCTCGGCTGTGAAACCGCCATCGTTTCTTTCAGGACCGATGGCCGATTCTCGTGACCTCGTCTCTTGCATGACGATTCGCGATGAGTCCTCAGTTGCTCGCAGAGTTTGCCCAAGCATAGCTGCATTCTCCACACCATATGCAGGTTCTTCTGCTGCCCTCAACCAAGCTTTGTCATTGCAGAGGGATGTCCTACCTACAGAATCGTCATCTTGCCATTTCAGTCATAATCGAGCCAGGATTCCAGGCTGTACTGGATCGTTTAGGGCCACTTGCGCAGCTGGTAGCTGTTTTCGAATTCGACGTCGACGATCCGATCCTACTCGGTCACATTCGGGCATTATGCGACGTAATCGGGATGAGTCGAGCTCTTTTTCAGGAAGCAGGGTTGAACTTGCTCCGACATTGTCCAACACATCATCTATTTGCAGTGAGGGCGTGATAAATCACATCTTCTTCGACGTCGGAATGTCAGTAATTCTCCAACATACGCAACTACACGCAAGTACTAGCCAGGGGTTATGCATTCATTCTTAAGTGTATCCACGGGCATTGTAATGGATAAGTAGATTTTTTAAGAGCATAAGTCATCTTAAGTCACTTGTGATAGTCTAGCACTGAAAGTTGGATTTATCTCAATGAAAAGAGTAGAGGGCCTCCTGAAACTATTGAATTTCACTTAGTATTGCATCCCAGAGGGCTTTATCTTCCAGGCTAAACGCTAGTGTTGATCTCATTCAGGTCTCAGCACCATAAATGGGATTCGAAACCAGGTATTGAGCATCCAGGGTCAACATCAATACTCGGCTACATAACTACGTGTGCTAGTGTGTGTAACAGGGCAGATGTTACTAAAATTGCTATTCGCCTAAGATAAGTAAGTCTATTGGAAGGTAATGTGAAATTCAGCGGACTCTTGGCGCCGTATACTCGTTTCATTGTAAAAAATTTAGCCTTTAGTCAGTCTTTCTTTACCTTAAGCGAACTTTGTTAACTCATGTTCTTATTGTAATGGATTCATTTGATTGGTATCCATTCAACAAGTAGGAGAATTCAAGGGAAGCGTTGCCATCATAAACTTAGATTTTGGGTAAAGTATCAGCTGAATTAATGAGTGTATTGATAATACCTCTGTCGGTTCCTAAGCCCTTAATATTCCTAAATTT